GATTCTATGATTCTGTGATCCACTCTTGAGTTCCCTTCAAGGTGAGAAGGGCAGAATATAAATTACTGTAGATAAATAAGAAATAAATGCATTCCAGCTTGACAATATCTTTCCTGATCTGGTCACCTTAGTCCAGATGAAGTCTAACAAAAGGAGAATAGTCGTGGTAGCACTTACTACTCCTATTGATACAACCTAGAACCACTGTTCTGACTGGAGTATACCCATTGAATCCAACAGCGGTATCTCATGTTGATTGAGCATTCAATGACTGAATTAGTCTGCTTTAGTTGGGACTAATCAACATAATACCTGCTCAAGTTAAGTAATAAACATGTACAATACATATAAATACAAACACACGGGTGTGAAGGAAAGCATTGCACTACAACCGGGGTTCTCACCTGGAGTGTGTATTTTATTCATCTTCAGTCCATGGACCTGTGCAAGTTTCTCAGATAGAAGGAAAACAGGCCGCTGTATGATGCGGGGCTTGCAACCTCCAACTTCAAACTTTTGTCTGAAGAAGGAAAATGTCCCCAGCCCTGGTATTAAGACACCCTGAAAAAGAAGGAATTGTGAGCAAGAGTTATATAGTGGTTAAGGACACGAGCTAAGAGTTGGATGGATCCAACAGAAAACTTAGGTCAGGCTCAAACTTAAGTAGGCAAATCGATGAAAGTAAAAAACCATGAATAAAAGAATTTTTTACCCGCAGAAATATCTTTATAGGGATTTATATATCTTCCAGTATGGCTCTATTGTTGACATTGGCAGAAAAAATGGCCACAGAATCACATTGGAGGATCTAGATATTCCTAGGAGCCACAGTGACGCAATGGATTAAACCTTTGTGCTACTGAACTGTGGATCTGAAGGTTAACTGAACTGGTGATCTGAAGGTTGGTAGACAGGGTGAGCTCCCATCTGTCAGCTCCAATTCCTGCCAACCTAGCAGTTGGAAAACATGCAAATGTGAGTAGATAAATAGGTACCGTTTCAGCAGGAAAAGGTAAGGGATGCTCCAAGCAATCTTGCTGGCCACACAACCAGGAAGCAACAACGCAGGCTCCTCGGCTTGAAAATGGAGAAGAAAAGCACCTCCCAGAGCCAGAGGTGAGCACTGCCTCCAGAAGCCGGAAATGAAAGGAGAAGCCTCTGCCTTTGTTTTTGTTTGTGTGTCCCATTATATATGATTGTAAAGACACTGAATGTTTGCCTATGTATGTAAATGCTGTAATCCGCTCTGAGTCCCCTAGGAGAGAAGGCTGAGATAAATAAAGTGTATTATTATTATCTCCAGAAATCTCTAGATCTACCAGCATGAGCAAAGGATCTCGAGATGCCTTGGGAGAATGTTTTTATCAAATCTTAAATCATTAAATCCCCAAATGTCGGAACTACAAATATGGAGGGACAACAGTACTAGGCTCTAAAGATAGATCGATGGTTTGATTCAGTATACGGCAACTTCATACGCTCTCATATATTCCTGAAGCTTTTGAATAATTCATAATGTAAGAATTCAAGCAGGTGAATAAACAGGATGAGCCCCACCTTATTCATGGAGAGCTGCTTTTCAACAAACCCAGAAACAGTGTCCCAGATGCCAAGGATCTCTGAAATGTAAAGAAAGACATATTTATTATAAGACCTCAGCCCTATAGAGGGGTGTGTGGCATAGTGGTTTTTGTGCTGGAATAAACTCTGGAGCCCAGAGTTTGATTCCCATCTCAGTCATGGAAACCCACTTGGGTGAGTCACATACTCTCAGCCCCAGAAAACCCTATGATATGTCAGAAATGACTTGAAGGCACACAGCAGCAGCAGCAGCAGCAGCAACAACAACAGCTTGTAGAAACTATGGATCATTGAACTCTGGATCACTGCCTCTTAGGCACCTTCCACAAAGCCCTATATCCCAGAATATCAAGGCAGAAAATCCCACATTATCTGAGTGTGGTTCAGACAGGACCATTATTGCAGTATCTACTGGACAGTCCCAAATTAATTCATTTCAAACCAGGAAAATCCTGGTTTGTAGCTAATTAATTAGACAGTGGTTTTATTTTGCACCTTTTTGGAAGGCATGGAGGATATCGACTATTTCCAGTTCTGGACTGCAGAATACTGCAGTCCAGACAGTATTTCTGACATTTCCCAGGCTAAATACTCCTCCCAAGCCCCCAAACCCATTAGAAAAGTAATAAAAACTTACCTGTTCTCTATTACAAGCCTCGGGCAGCTCTCCCAGCACATAGAAATGACACGCCAGGAAAGCAGGGGAATTGCACATCATTTCTACACACTGGGAGAGCCAGCTGAAGCTTGTAATGGAGGACGGGTAAGTTTTTATTACTTTTCTAAGGGGTCTAGGGGCTTGGAGTTAGGGCCTCCAGACGTTCTTTTGGGCTAGTCCCAAGAGAATGTCTGGACACCCATCCCAGAAAGCATGCACTTTCTGGGGTGAGTTTGGACAGCTCCCCAGGAAAATCTGCATTTTTAAAACGCAAATTCTCCTGGAATAAAGGCCTGTCTGGATCCGGCCCCAGTTCAAAGCAGATATTGTGGGATTTTCTACCTTGATATTCTGGGTTATAGGGTTATATAGCTGTGTGGAAGTGCCCTAATTTCCAGTGTTCGCTTGACATTTCAACAGAGACAGTAAAGCTGAACAAAGCCTTTTGTACTTCATTCACGAAAGCAATGTTGTTTTATGTGAAACAGTTCCATCTGGTGCTTCAAACAATTCATGTCTTTAGTGGAAATTTCCAAAATAATATTGCAGATGACTGAAATGAGTGTGTTGTGAGTGACATTACAAGAGCTCAGCTGCCAGAGCGAGACAGATTGGCAAGCAATATATAAGAAGAAAGAGTAGAACGTATAAAAGGGAATGTCTCTGTTTAACTCATTCATTCAATTACATCAAATCTGTTTGGTCTGTTCAGACGGACATTCAGATTCCTATAAGAATATGAGAGACACAACCTGTCTGAGCAAGAATATAAGGGTCAGACCAAGTCCCCTTCTACACTGCCATATAATCCAGATTATCAAAGCACATAATCCACATTATTTGCTTTGAACTTACTTATTTATTGTGTCAGAAGCGAATTAACGGTACAGTTGTAATGTATTTAAAAACACACAAAAAAAGTTTAAAAACCTTGGCATTATACTAAATGTCCTTTGACCAGTAGCTGGCCACTTGGAGTGCCTCTGGTGTTGCATGTGGCAGGGCTCAGGTTGCATTGTAGCAGGTGGTCAGTGGTTTGCTCTTCTCCACACTCGCATGTTGTGGACTCCACTTTGTTGCCCCATTTATTAAGGTTGCCTCTGCATCTTGTGGTGCCAGAGCGCAGTCTGTTCAGTGCCTTCCAAGTTGCCCAGTTTTCTGTGTGCCCAGGAGGGAGTCTTTCATTTTGTATCAGCCACTGATTGAGGTACTAGGTTTTAGCCTGCCACTTTTGGACTCTTGCTTGCTGAGGTGTTCCTGCAAGTATCTCTTGTATATTTGAACTTGATTATACGACTTGACACTGCCATATAATCCTGTTCAAAGCAGATAACCTGGATTTTATATGGCTGTGTAGAAAGGGTAATAAATAACAGATCTTGGCTTTCTGATGGTTCGATGCATGCAAACGTGGCTTCGTGCACAAAAGTATTTTGAAATATTGTGTATAAAATCACTTTCATTTCATGATATTTAGTCTTGGGTCCTTTCCCCAAGATACGCAAATAATCCAAAATCTGAAATAATCTGAAATAATTATATTATTAGCTTCATGGTTAACCCAGGTGAGCAAGAGTTTAAAATGTGTAGTAAAGAAATATATGTAAGCTTAAAGATGGGGTATAAATAGGGTAATATATCACACACACACAATAATAATAATAATAATAATAATAATAATAATAATAATAATAATAATATAACAATAATATTATAATAATTAGAAATATAGCTTACCCTCCGAAGTGAGTTTGGGAAGTGTAAGGAACACATTCCTGCCTCCTTCCAGGATTGCAGTCTGGATGGTGTCCAACATATTCAGGCCCAAGCAAAAGCCAGGTAGACTGTGATGGTCTATGGAGGTTTGGAAGTGGCTGTCACATCCTTTGCTTCCTTTGTTCACTTGACTTCAAAACTTAAAAAAAATGCTTGCCCCATTTCCCTGCCAGCCACTTTCCTTCCCCATCAATGCAAAGCTAAGGGACTGGTTTCCTCCAAGTCAAGGGAGAGAAGGAAAGGAAAAGAACTCCTGGGGAAGCAAAGAAAATGTATGAATGGAAGGGGGCGGGACCGTTGCTAGGACGCGAGCCTCCGGGGCTGTTGCTAAGGGTGACGTCACAATCGCTCAGAACTCACCGCCCAATAAGCTTCGCCTGGCTTACTTTTGACGTTCTTTTGAAGTCTGATAAGAGTTTGGTGGCATGGTGTGTTGGCTTCTTTTGAGTTTTATTCTACTGAATTTTTTTCTTGCAGTTCTAATGGGGTTTTAACTGAACTGTTTTAATAATAGTAAATATATATATTTACTATTATTACTAATATATTTCCTATATATATGTGTTTTATATATATATATATATATATATATATATACTATTATTACTTATATATATAGATAGATAATAAATATATATGTTTACTATTATTACTAATATATTTACTATATATATTTGTTTTATATATATATATATATATCACATATATATATGTGTTTACTATTATTACTAATATATTTACTATATATATGTGTTATATATATATATATATACTATTATTACTTATATATATAGATAGATAGTAAATATATATGTTTACTATTATTACTAATATATTTACTATATATATTTGTTTTATATATATATATATATCACATATATATATGTGTTTACTATTATTACTAATATATTTACTATATATATTTGTAATATATATATATATATACTATTATCACTTCTTATATATATAGTAAATATATATGTTTACTATTATTACTAATATATTTACTATATATATATTTGTAATATATATATACTATTATCATGTCATATATATATACACATAGTAAATATATGTTTACTATTATTATTAATATATTTACTATGTTGTTGTTCATTCGTTCAGTCGTCTCCGACTCCTCGTGACCTCATGGACCAGCCCACGCCAGAGCTCCCTGTCGGCCGTTACCACCCCCAGCTCCTTCAAGGTCAGTCCAGTCACTTCAAGGATGCCATCCATCCATCTTGCCCTTGGTCGGCCCCTCTTCCTTTTGCCTTCCACTTTCCCCAGCATAATCGTCTTCTCTAGGCTTTGCTGTCTCCTCATGATGTGGCCAAAGTACTTCAACTTTGTCTCTAGTATCCTTCCCTCCAGTGAGCAGTCGGGCTTTATTTCCTGGAGGATGGACTGGTTGGATCTTCTCGCAGTCCAAGGCACTCTCAGCACTTTCCTCCAACACCACAGCTCAAAAGCATCGATCTTCCTTCGCTCAGCCTTCCCTATATATTTACTATATATTTGTTATATATATATTATCACTTCTTATAATATATTATTATTAATATATTAGTAAATATATTAGTAATAATAGTAAACATATATATTTACTATTATCACACACACACATATATATAGTAAATATATGTTTACTATTATTACTAATATATTTACTATATATATTTGTAATATATATATATACTATTATCACTTATATATATAAAGTAAATATATATATTTGCTATTATTACTAATACACACACACAAACACACACATATATATAGTATGCATGTGTGGGCATGTATGTGTCTGTGTGTATATATATTGCATATAGTATTTGTTGGTTTTTAAATTGTGTAGTTTTTAAGATTGGGAGCTGCTTTGGGTCTTGGGAAATTCAGAATACGAACAATTAGTATTATTGTTGTTGTTTAGTCAGTTTGCTTATACTGAGTTGCATTACATTGAATTGCTTTTTCATTTTTCCTAATCTGTCTTAATGAGATTTAAACTGAATTGTTTTTATATTTCTAAAGTTTTATTCTGTTTTAATATTTATCTTTTGCAGGTTTTTAAACTGTATACTTTTTAAGGTTGTGTGCTACTTTACATTTAGATCAAGAGAGAAAAGTGGAATGCAAATAATTATTATAATAATTATTTATTTATTTTATTTATTTAGAATTTTTATATACCGGTCTTCTCACCTCTATAGAGGGACTCAGGCCAGTTTCCAACAACAATATCACAAACAATCGTTTAAAAACATCACATTATTATTATTATTATTATTATTATTATTATTATTATTATTCAGAGACAAAGTATGTCACAGCAAACGAGATCTATATGCTGGATTTCGTATCACAAAATCACAAGTCGAACACTTCCCAAGCGTCTAGGACTGTGTGATGTATTTATTATTATTTGAAGCACAAGATGAATCCACAGCAGACACTCTGCTGGCTGTTGAATTGGATCACACATTGGATCACAAGTGGATCACAAGTTGTTGTTGTTGTTATTGGTTACCTATATTGCTCAGTTTGTTTATAGTGAGTTCTGATGGGGAACTTCCCGCTGGAGTGGAAATAATCTATCAGACAGATGGCAAGCCATTTAACCTCAGCAGACTGAAAGCCAAAACCAAGGTCACAACACCTGTTATAGAACTTCAATATGCTTATGATAATGTAGTCTGTGCATATTGAGAAGAAGACCTACAGGCCACTCTAAACAGCTTTGCAGAAGCATACGAGCTCAGCCTCTCATTGAACACTGGAAAAACCAAAGTGCTCTTCCAGCAGTCAATCCGTCTGTAATGCCAGAAATGCAACTTAATTTTGTAACATTAGAAAATGTTGACCATTTCCGCTACCTTGACAGCCACCTCTCCACAAAAGTCAACATTGACACTGAAATACAACACTGCCTGAGCTCTGCGAGTGCAGCATTTTTTCCGAATGAAGCAGAGTGTTTGAGGATTGGGACATCCGTAGGGATACCAAGGTGCTTATTTATAAAGCTATTATCCTTCCAACCCTGCTATATGCCTGCGAAACGTGGACTATCTACAGACGTCATACGCAACTCCTCTAACGATTCCATCAGCGCTGTCTCTGAATAATCCTGCAAATCTCTTGGGAAGACAGATGGACAAATGTCAGTGTGCTGGAAGAAGCAAAGACCACCAGCATTGAAGCGATGGTCCTCCATCATCAATTCCGCTGGACCGGCCACGTCGTCTGAATGCCTGGTCTCCCAAACAGGTACTATACTCCCAATTCAAGAATGGAAAGCGGAATTTGGTGGGCTGCTGTGAGTTTTCCGGGCTGTATGCCCATGTTTCCGGGCTGTATGCCCACGTTTCACCCACATCTATGGCAAGCATCCTCAGAGGTTGTGATGTATGTTGGAAACTAGGAAAACAGAGTTTATATATATGTGGAATATCCAGGGTGGGAGAAAGAACTCTTGTTTGTGTGAGGTACGTGTGAACATTTCAATTGACCACCTTAATTTGCATTTAATGGCCTAGCAGAAGTCTGGCTTCTTACTGCCTGGGGGATCCTTTGCTGGGAGGCGATTAGCTGGCCCTGATTGTTGTCTGGATTTTCCATTTCTGAGTTGTTCTGTATTTACTGTTATGCCATTAGTTTTTTAATACTGGTAGCCAGATTTCCTTCATTTTCATGGTTTCTCAGTGGGCAGGAAAAGAGATTAAAAGATTGGCTTAAAGCTAACCTCAAAAACCTGTGGCATGGACACTGAGAACTGGGAAGCCCTGGCCCTTGAGTGCTCCAGCTGGAGGTCAGGTATGACCAGCAGTGCTGAGGAATTTGAAAAGGCATGAATAGAAGGCGAAAGGGAGAAATTGTTCTGGCCCTGTTTACTTGTCCGAACGTATCTCCTGCTACGATCCACCTAGGGCCCTAAGATCATCTGAGGAAACCCTGCTCATTATCACAAGTGCGTCTAGCGGGGACAAGGGACAAGGCCTTTTCTGTGGTGGCCCTCCCGAGTGAAATTAGATCTGCTGCATCCCTCTTAACCTTCCGGAAACAAGTGAAATCTTGGCTATGGGATCAGGCCTTTGGAGAATAGGCTGACCTACTAACATGTTGACTTATTTAGATCTGATGGACTGCCCTTGGATAATGATTTAAATCGGTGACCACTGACTATTTGTTGTCTGTTTTTATAATGTTTTTATATTGTTTATACAGTTTTATACTGTTTATACTGTTTTATATTGTTATTATTACATTGCTGTTAATTGTATATTTATGTTTTGATGTGGGCGCCATGGGGTGCCACTTTGTTAGCCGTCCCGAGTCCCTCTGCGGAGGTTGAGAAAGGACGGGATACAAAAGCCCTAAATAAATAAATTAATGTGCCAAGAGGAAGGCGTGTCAAGTCAACCCTTACCAGGACTGCATTCCACCTGGAAACCGATGCCCTCATTGTGGAAGAACATGCAGGTCAAGAATAGGGCTCCACAGCCACCTACATATCCACTGCCAAGATGCTACACTTGAAAGGCCAAGGGATCCCATAAGTAAGTACGTTTCATTTTTACAATTTATGTATGTGCCTGTATCTCTTATAAAGGATTGGTTCAACCTCTGATTTGCAAGTAAAACTATGTCATAAAATGATGTATAGCCAAAAAGTGTGTCACCAACATGAAATGTTTTGAAAGCTCTGCTCTAGAACCTTGCTCTTTCCCAACTCAGGCTTTATTGTATTGTTTCCTACAGAAAAGTGAGAACAACCCCACACCAAAAGTCTGTGTTTCTCTAGTTCTCCTCAGTCCTCCTCCTAATGCTGGAACACAATTCAACAGAAGCAGATCTGTAAGGCAAGATGATTAATTAGCCTAAGAGGGCTCTAATGGAACTGCGTAGGCATGAATACAGGTTTCTGGCATAGTTTAAGCTGACATAAGGATATGTCAAAGTCTGGTACTTTAAAGAAGAAACAATTGGCCTTGTGGTTGTGCACACAACTAAAATAGTTGCGTATGAATCTTTTGTTGTTTGGAATGTACACAGGACAATGGATTTAATTAAAGGACAACAACAAAAATGACAAGGATTTTTTTAGGGTTTTAATTTTAAATAGAGTCCAAAAAATATTACAAAAGCAGTGGTTTCCCCTCCTAACTTCTTCTCAAATTTGAATTAATCCATTCAGATTAGTCTTGATAAGCCGTGTCCTTCAAGATGTGACCAACTGTTACAGTGCGTTTCAAAGAACTTGAGTCAAGATTATTTTTTCCAGAATAAAGGATTCTTTTTTAAAAGTTATTTTTATTAAGAATAAAAAATTGTTCCTTGAGAGTAGGAACGAAGAAAAGTAATTATAGAGATAATTGTTTTCAGCTTGTTTACATAAAAAGAGTGGGAACAATATTTTTTAGTAAAGTAGGGGGAAAAAGAGAAAAAAGAGAGAAAGAAAGGAAGAGTAATAATACTAATAAA